ATGGACAAATCTCATGAAATACAGAAAAACAATAAAAAATAAAAAAAACACCTGTAGGAATGTTTAAGAAAAGAAATTATCACACTTTGCAATGCCTTTTTACTGTTAGAAAGTTACCTTTCTTAAAACAACAACAGATATAAAGTTTATTCAAAGAGTATTCTTTTAGCGCTTTTAAAGCCAAAGGATTTCAGAGGTTGCCCTCTGAGGAATGGGAGTTGGAATGAAGTAGGTGAGACTTTCATTTTCTACTTCGTACATTTCTATATTTTTGTATTGGTTGCAATGATTGGAAAAGTTAATCATTTTTAATCAAAGGAATCTAATTAGAGTCTTTTCCTTTTTATCACAAAACATCATTACTAGTTGCCTTGTTTTATACCTTACAGGGATTCAAAAAGAGAACTTCATTTCTTTCCTATAGTTGTTCACTTTTGTCATGAAAATCCCTGTCCTGGATTGTCCATGCCCTCTAGACCAGAAATTTCCAAGTATGGCAAGAACACCACACAAGGACTCAGAACCAGCATCAGAATTAAGAATTCACTCTCAATCAACCTATACCCCCTGGCAAGAGGGCTGAATGCACCCATTGATTTTTCAGTATATTCACAGCAAACAAGTAGTTATTTAGAGCAGGTTTTTGTTACTATTTTAAAGTTATAACAGGAAAAATTTCTCCAAACGGCAAAAGCATTTTGATGTCTGCAAACCTTACTACAAATTATAAATAACAGAAGAGTAACAATTAACTGTCCTATTAAGAAAATAATGGGACCTGGCCAGAGTGGCTCAGTTGGTTAGGCATAGTCCAGTGCACCACAAGGTTTTGGGTAGATCCCTGGTAGGGGGCATGCAGGAGGCAGCAACTGATTGATGTTCTACTCTCACATTGATGTTTCTCTCTCACTCCCTTATTCTTCCTCTTTCTCTAAAAAAAAAAAAAAGTCAATAAAAATTTTTTTTAAATAATTGGCTTTTTCTTTTTATACTGGTGTGACTCGTATTCTTGGAGTAGTAGAATATACAACAGGAAGAGCCACTAATTTGGCTTGGTTCAAAGTCCCACAGCCCCCTTTTTACTACTAGCTTTGACTTCTATAACCTGACCTCTTCTTTTTTATGAGCAAGAACCTGTGGTAGGAAAGAGAAGACTGTTTAGTCTCTTCCAGCCCTCTGATTTATGACTTTCTCCCTGCTTTGTTTTGTTTTTCCTTCCTCCATTTCCTTATTTCACTTTCAGCCAAAGTGATCTCAAAGAAGATACAATTCTAATTGTACAATTGTTAAATGATGTCATTTTCTACTCAACGTAGTTCAATAGTTTCACAGAAATTTTCCAAATCTTACCAACTTTAAGATCTGGCCCTACCTTGCCTCTCCAAATTTTTCACTTACACAATAGGCATTATTCAAACTCCTTTCCATCTGACTGAAACACTCCTTCATTCCTTCTGCCCCTTTCCCTTTTTGGTCTGGAATACTCTTAAGTATCTTGCCAACTCTGTTTAGATGTCACTTCCCCAAGAAAGGCTCGCCAATCTTCTCAAATCCAGATTAGGAGCTACATCCTTGTCTGTGACATACAGGGAGGGTGGGGAGTAGTAGTTTCCCCAATACCTACTAAGGATTGGGAACATGAGATTATCAAAAATGTGTTAAAGAATGAAAAAGGCAGGAGGCATAAAAAATAGGAGTCTATGGAAGTCAGACAGTCATAAAATAGTAAGATTTAGCCATTAAATTCAGGAATAGGCTCATGACAATGGAAAAGAATGAATGAATGGGACACAATAAATATGAATTCTGAGTTGATGTAATTTGGTATACTATATAATTAGGAGATTCATCTAGCTCAGTAGTTTTCTAATTGTGGCTGACCCTCAAAATCATCCAGAAATCAGAAATTTTTTTTAAGTGTTGTAATTTCCTCTGGTCATAGCCACTGACTGATGTTCAGGAATTACCTGGATGTTCTATAAAGGCCACTTCCCAGCACTAATGCTCAATTTAAGATAGCCACAAGATAACCACAAACAAATAGTTGATAAGTAACTAAAGGTACGAGCAGAAGGGATGTATTACACTAGATTTTTAAGCTAATTGACCTGAGTCCCAATTTACACATAACAGGCAACCAATAAATACTTGTTTATTAAATGAAAATAGGGGAGCCTGACCAGCATGGCTCAGTGGTTGAGCCAGTCAGGGCTCATGCCCAGGTTGTGGGTTCAATTCCCAGTGTGGGGCATGCAGGAGGCAGCTGATCAATGATTCCCTCTCATCACTGATGTTTCTATTTCTCTCTCCCTCTCCCTTCCTCTTTGAAATCAATAAAAATATTTTTTTTAAAAAAATAAATGAAATAGGGATCAGGAGGAGGGAGAACATTTTTATGAGAAAGGGTAGACTGGATGTTGGATATGAGTTTTTCAACTGACATTCTACCATTTGTCCTTCAGGGCTATGTCAACATAATGTTCTACTTTCCTGCCTTAGATATTTGTCCTTGGCATTGCTGTTTTGGCTATAAGGATTACCTCTTATAGCCAATTTCTCTTTAAAAAATTACCTTCTCTTATTTTGTATACTCCTACAGAGACTATAAAACAGATCTTGTCCTCTCTTAACTAACGCTCTATGAGACTCTCTTCTAGATTTTGAAAACTTGAGTAGAATGTCCCAAAAACAGAGAAATCAGTTGGTGTTCTTCATTCTTGCAGTGGCACTAAATTCCTGCTTCCTAGATTCTTGGGCTACTCTAGTTTCTGTCCTATTAACTTGGCTTTATTCTCAGACCAGCATTACTTCCATAAACTACCCAGCATCCTTCTAATAAATCTCCATTATGTTTAATAACTCTTTATCAATTTCTGGTATTTGCCAAACAAACAAAATAACAGAAACTTATACAGATGGTAGGGGAAGGAGGGACGAAGGGAGGGAAATGCAAGACAGATATGTAATTTTAAATTTTCTAGCAGCCTCATTAAAAAACAAACTGATAGAATTAATTTTTTAAATATATTTTTATTGATTTCAGGGAGGAAGGGAGAGAGAAATAGAACATCAATGATGAAAGAGAATCATTGACTGGCTGCCTCCTACACGCCTCACACTGGGGATAGAGCCTGCAACCAGGGCATATCCAGACCAGGAATGAAACCGTGACCTCCAGTTCCATAGGTCAATGCTCAACCACTGAGCCATGCTGGCCACGCTGATGGAATTAATTTTAATGCTAGGTTTTATTTAAGCCAATACACACAAACTATAACATGTACTCAATATAAAAAAATTAAGATATTTTACTTCACCCTAGCCGTTTTGGCTCAGTGGATACAGTGTCAGCCTAGGGACTGAAGGGTCCAGCGTTTGATTCCAATCAAGGGCACATGCCCTGGGTTGTGGGCCCAATCCCTAATAGGGGGTGTGCAGGAGGCAGCCGATCAATGATTCTCTCTCATCATTAATGTTTCTCTCTCTCTTTCTCTCTCTCTCTCCCTCCCTCCCTCCCTCTCTAAAATCAATAAAAATATATTTTAAAAATATATTTTTTTTAATTTTATTTTTGTTCCAAATCTTTGAAATGTGATATGTATTTTACACTTATAGCCCTTCTCAACTCAAACGCTAAATTTTCAGTTTTAAGTAAAATGTAGTCCTTCCAAAATAATAAAATGTATATAAGAGGAAAATATTTTACATTGCTAAGGTTTTAAATTTAACTAAAATTAAACATTCAGTTCCTCAGTTACATTGGCCACATTTCAAGTGCTTGGTAGCAACATATGACTACTGTAATCAGGTGCATATGGTGGGGAAAATATAATTAACTAATAATAATACAAGAGTAAACTTTTGCAACTCACAATTGTAAATCTACTTTTGCTCTACCCCATATAATTGGCTATACTAGTAAGAGTGAAGAGACTCAGGAGCCCTTTTCTTGATAGATCTAGTATTTGGAAGAAATACTAGAGGTTTTCACACTTCTAACAAATTTCATTATGAAAAGATTCAGAATTATATGAAGACCTATAGAAATATCTCTCCCCCAAAATAACGTTTCCTTGCCTGTGTAACTAAAACAGGTTAACACATTATTGAGTTTGAGATCTATCCTCTGTATCCTAAAATTTAGTGATATAGAGATCAGAGTTATCTTCCCTGTCAGGGAGTTTAATTTAGAGTTAAAAATAACTTCTCATTTATTATATTTAGATGGGTGGGAAGAGATTTTGAAGATTAGCTTTAATTATAAATAGTTCCACTGTCAAATAAAAATGTAGAATTTTGAGTGGCAGGTTGAAGAATTTGACCTTCATACCTCAGATATTAAGTTATTGTACATTTTGGAGTAGAAGAGTACATAATGAAGTCTATGCTTCCAGAAAGCAAATCAGAATCCATTGTGCAAGTAGACTGGGAACAACAGAGGTCTGTAGAGAAAATGTGGAGCTTCTAGCATCCTTAGCTGGTACATACTCTTATTTCTGTCAGGAATTATTTTCCTCTTACATTGACAAGACAGGAGCTTATCCTTCAAAATCTAGTTCAAAGTCAGCTGTTTCCTGGAAGCAGTTGTCAGACTGAGTCACTTCACCTCTGATCCCACCGAACTTCTTTCCAAATCCTAAACAGAAGTCAAATCATAGAGAAACTAGAGTAGTGGTTGTAGCGGAGGAGGGGATGGAGAATTATTGTTTAATTGGTGCATTTTCCATTTTACAAGATGAAGAGTTCCGTGGATGCATGGAGTGATGGTAGCACAGAACTAAATGATTAAAGGGCCTTTCCCCAGCCTAACACCTTCCCTTTCAGGTCACAACTTAGATGTCCTTCCCTTTTCCAGGCCAAAAGGGTTTAGGTACATTTGCTATACCCTCTTATGAACTCCATACTTTTCTGATAGGGCTTTCATTCCAATTACAATCTATAGCAAATTATGTGGTATATTAGTTTGCTAAGGCTTCCATAACAAAATGGTACAGACTGGGTAGCTTAAACAACAAAACTTTATTTTTTCACAGTTCTGGAGGCTGGAAGTTCAAGATCAAGGTATAGGCAGGTTTAGTTTCTCCTGAGGCTTCTCCTTGGCTTTCAGAAGGCTGCCTTCTTCCTGTGTCCTCACATGGCCATTCCTCCGCAAATGTGCATTCCTGGTGTCACCCTGTGTGTCCAAATTTCCTCTTCATATAAAGACACCAGTCAGACTGAATTAGGACCTACCGTAAAGGTCTCATTTTAACTTATCACCACTTTAAAGGCCCCATTTCCAAATACAGTCATATTCTGAGACGAAATTCTTTTTTTTTTTTATTGCTTAAAGTATTACAAAGGGTATTACATATGTGTCCTTTTTTTTTTCCCCGCCCTTGACAATCCCCTGGTCTCCCCTACCCCC